TAAAGTGTCATGTATACAAACAGTAAAGTGACATGTAAACAAACAGTAAAGTGTCATGTATACAAACAGTATAGTGACATGTAAACAAACAGTATAGTGACATGTAAACAAACAGTATAGTGTCATGTATACAAACAGTATAGTGACATGTAAACAAACAGTAAAGTGACATGTAAACAAACTATAAAGTGTCATATAAACAAACAGTAAAGTGGCATGTAAACAAACAGTAAAGTGTCATATAAACAAACAGTAAAGTGTCATGTATACAAACAGTATAGTGACATGTAAACAAACAGTATAGTGTCATGTATACAAACAGTATAGTGACATGTAAACAAACAGTATAGTGACATGTAAACAAACAGTAAAGTGTCATGTAAACAAACAGTAAAGTGACATGTAAACAAACTATAAAGTGTCATGTATACAAACAGTATAGTGACATGTAAACAAACAGTAAAGAATTGTAATGGGAACATCATATAATTGTAACTACTCAGCAATGTGAACGTCATATAATTGTAACTACTCAGTAATGTGAACGTCATATAATTGTAACTACTCAGTAATGGGAACGTCATATAATTGTAACTACTCAATAATGTGAACGTCATAGACTTGTAACTACTCAGTAATGGGAACGTCATATAATTGTAACCACTCAGCAATGTGAACGTCATATAATTGTAACTACTCAGTAATGTGAACGTCATATAATTGTAACTACTCAGTAATGGGAACGTCATATAATTGTAACTACTCATTAATGTGAACGTCATAGAATTGTAACTACTCAGTAATGTGAACGTCATATAATTGTAACTACTCAGTAATGGGAACGTCATATAATTGTAACTACTCAGTAATGGGAACGTCATATAATTGTAACTACTCAGTAATGTGAACGCCATATAATTGTAACTACTCAGTAATGGGAACGCCATATAATTGTAACTACTCAGTAATGGGAACGTCATATAATTGTAACCACTCAATAATGTGAACGTCATAGAATTGTAACTACTCAGTAATGGGAACGCCATATAATTGTAACTACTCAGTAATGTGAACGTCATATAATTGTAACTACTCAGTAATGGGAACGTCATATAATTGTAACTACTCAATAATGTGAACGTCATAGAATTGTAACTACTCAGTAATGGGAACGCCATATAATTGTAACTACTCAGTGATGTGAACGCCATATAATTGTAACTACTCAGTAATGTGAACGCCATATAATTGTAACTACTCAGTAATGGGAACGCCATATAATTGTAACTACTCAGTAATGGGAACGTCAT